GAACATGTAGGGCTAGTTGCTAGGATGCCCTGGACTACAAACAACAGAAGATCTGATGGTAACATACACAAATACTATGTGCTGATTATCTTTTCATGCAATAAGAAAGCCAGAGGTTGGTGTACTCAGGTTTGTGATTAGCTTTGGATGTTATGACACAGGAACCAATTCACCTCAGTCTGTGAGCTCTGCCATCCCCATCATGTCAGGGATGTGTGCATTCATAGTCTCAAGATGGTTTCAGCAGGTTGCAGGAGCACATCCTCTTAAAGTCATCGTCAAACTCAGAAACTGGGTGGAGTTAAAGTGGTGGCATGACAAGTAATGGCTCCTTATACTTGACTCTCTGCCTTTGTCTCTGTCTAGCTCTCTCTCTAGTAAAAGATATTTAGCAAAAGAACTCGCCTATCATTTTGTAGTTACTAGCCATAGTTAGGTTACATTTTGATTCATCTAGTGGAGGAAAAGGCAGGGAAAGAAGTGCCAGGCATTTTGGCCTCTCTGGAGCCTTGCCCTTCCTGTATGTAAGAAAGGCTTTGGGCACAGCTGCCAGAGAATGAGCCACTGTCCCCTGCCTCATGCCTGGCTACATGTTATTCTTTTTCAACTTGATATTTTCCAAATTCACATCTAGTGCCTAAAGGACAAAGGCATAGCTTGATGAAACTCTGGAACTACTTGGTGTATGAAAAGCATATAAAACGACTGTATGCTACATCCAGTAACCTTAAAGAAGAAATTTATCATTTATTATTTATATATTTAATAAATTTATTTTTTGAAACAGTCTCATCATGCAGTGCAGATTGGCCTTGAACTTGTGATCTTTTTTCCTCAGTCTTCTGAGTCTTGGGCTTTCCAAGTGTGTTCCACAAGCTGGTCTTGTATCGTTTTTGTTGTTTTTAATTTTTGTTTTATGCAGATGAGTGTATTGCCTGCATGTATGTAAGGGCACTGGTGTCCTGCAATGTGTGCAGAGGTCAGAAGAGGGCATTGGATCTATTGGCGCTGGAGTTATGGATGGCTGTTAGCCACCATGTGGGTGCTGCGATATGAACCCAGGTCCTCTGCAAGAGCAGTCAATGCTCTTAACTGCTGAGCCATTTCTCCAAACCCTTGTTGTTTTTAGAGACAAGATCTTTTTTATTTTTTTTACATTTTTTCTTTATTTAATAACCACATGATTAGAAGAAGCATT